ACGGTTAGTCAATTTTCCACGACGATGATAAGGATGAAACTGTTTTGGCTTCTCCTTTATCCCCTTACTTTTTTTTTTTTTTTTTTCCAACAGACCTCTGGACGGGTCTTACGGCACACAAAAAGAAATCCAAAAAAGCTAATGAGCACAAGGCTTTTTTCTTGGTTCCTATGTTGCCTGATCATAATCCATCCAGTATTGCGCGAGTTATAAATAATGGTCCAATGAGGACGCGCCATTTTTCGTGATGTCATTCGAGGATCGGCAAGTCCGTGTAACTGTTTATCATTGAATAGACACAAAACAACCTTTATTCATCGAACACCACTGTGCCTAAGGGATGGTGGTGGTCGAAACCGCTGACCTCTGCTATTCATTCATTTCATTCACCCATTCACCATTCATTCATTCAACAAAGAGATGTCAACTCCATATTGTTCTGGTGAATGTGAGAGAATGCGGTGCCTAATAAATAAATTCAAAAGTCGCAAACAGACCAGCCGCATTTTGTCGATGATTGGTATGTGTGTATATTTTATATTCTTTACGTGTTTCATGCGTAACTCTTGACAGGTATGAAAAACAAATGAATGAAAGAAATCCGAGATCACGAGAATCGATCATTCGTTCTCACACTCACGCGCACACACGACGCATTTGGGAATTTGATAACGCAATTCTGGCGCCTTGAACATATTCTTGGCAACCTTACTGCATGAGAATGAAGGATGTTACTGTGTGTGTGATGCCCGTACCCTCGGGAACCTTTAGATGATTCGATTCTACATGAATCCAAGCAAAATGCGTGGTCCCCAAGAAAGATTACTCAGGTCAACTTGAAGAAACGTGGAAACATTTCATATTGTTCGACGCACACGAGCTACCGTCTTCAAATTCGCTCGAGGGTTTCATGTGCAATTCACGTAGGGGTTTCACGCTCTTAATCCCAATGTGTGCAAAATATTATTGCATATCCGTTTCGCCAAAGATGAGCAACTAGGGTTGATTGGATCACCAACCAGAAACGTGAAATGGGTGGACACCGGTGGTAGGTGGAAGCCACGAAAGAACGAACGAACGAACGTTAAAATTCCAAATTTGGAATTTGTCACCAATCAGCAATTTCCTTCATCGACTTCTTTAGACTTGTTGAAAAGCTCCAAACTTAAAAGTAGTCTAAATTACAGTACAATACGAATATAGGTGAGACTTGACAATTTTAATTAATGCGTTTTACTTAAACATCGACATCAAATTACGCGGCGAATTCGGTGCTACCATGCCCGATGATGAACGCATAACCGTGTGTAACGCGCGAACTGCGAAAGAAAACTTTACCGCAGCAACGCATATATAATACCGTATATGCAGTAGTATATAATGAAAAAGAGATTGTAGAAAGGCCGACCGAAGCACAAGTGTACTCGATCCGTCAATATTACACAATTGTCAATCAATTGTTTTAACCATGGAACAAGTAGACACACTTGAATTACAGCTAAAATTG